CCCAGAGCTCCCGAAGATCCAGAAGACCCCAGGGCCCCCGAAGATCCTGAAGATCCCAGGGCTCCAGAAGATCCTGAAGATCCCAGGGCTCCAGAAGATCCCGAAGATCCTAGAGCTCCTGAAGATCCTGAAGACCCCAGAGCACCCGAAGACCCAGAAGACCCAAGGGCTCCAGAAGATCCAGAAGACCCAAGAGCTCCAGAAGATCCAGAAGACCCAAGAGCACCTGAAGATCCAGAAGATCCCAGAGCTCCTGAAGACCCAGAAGACCCAAGGGCTCCTGAAGATCCCGAAGACCCCAGGGCTCCAGAAAATCATATTCTAGAAATTGACATTCAAATTAAATCGGAAGTATTAGAGGAACCAGAGCAACCAGAAGATCCCAGAGCTCCTGAAGATCCAGAAGACCCCAGAGCTCCAGAAGATCCAGAAGACCCCAGAGCTCCTGAAGATCCTGAAGACCCCAGGGCTCCTGAAGACCCCGAAGATCCCAGAGCTCCTGAAGATCCCGAAGACCCCAGGGCTCCAGAAGATCCTGAAGACCCAAGAGCTCCTGAAGATCCCGAAGACCCCAGAGCTCCTGAAGATCCCGAAGACCCCAGGGCTCCAGAAGATCCCGAAGACCCCAGGGCTCCAGAAGATCCTGAAGACCCAAGAGCTCCAGAGGATCCAGAACGACACAGATATTAATTAAATCAATTTCTACTAAAAGCTGTTTCTCAGATACATATAGAGATTCATGTAGATACAACAAGTTCTAATAACATGTAACATCCATTAATGTTGTAAAAATAAAAGCTTAAATGGATATCAAATATTTCCTTTACTTACATAAAGTAATTTCAATATTTACAGAAATAATTGAAAACGGCATTTACTTCTTACTATTAATGACAAAACAGTAAAAGAGAATGAAATTTTCATAGGACCTAACAACATTTTTTTATACTTGTGCTATTTAGAGATGGAGTTTTTATGAAGGAAAATGTTAATTACGTTTTTCAGAGTAGAGCTAAAATTTACTGTAATAATTAATAATGGTACATATAAAAAAAGACTGAAGTACATATAACTTGTTCTCAATTGACAACAAATGTACTTACATAGGAAGTACTTCCGAAACACTTCAGATTGACTTTGTAGGTTCCAAAAAGCCAGACCTCCGAAAGAGTTCTTGTTTGTTTTCCCCAGACACCTCTCGCATTACCATTTACCAAAGAGAAAGAGTCTTATTCTCTCAAACTGTTCTGGCTCACAATGATAAATACAAATACTTGAAAAATATTTATATATGCTTGTGTGTTTCTCTCGGGGATGTCTAAAATTGAAATATTTAAATAGCAGAATTGTAGAGGAACACTTCAGGAGCAGTTCACCGATAAATGGAAAGCAGCTATTAAGTCAAGGTCAAAAGCCATGGTCAGAAGCAACAAAACTATATTTATATGAGATGTTTGGATTGCAAGAACATAGAAGAATATACAGGGTGAATCGGGATAATCGCATCAAACTGAAGAAATGGATTATAAGTCAAAATAATAAAAAAAACTCAAATGTTGTTATGCGATTTTCACTTATTTACTATGACGTACATTTCAACAAAAACACTTATTTGTTGATATTCTATTAATCCTAGCGTTCTTTGATTAAATGCTCAAAAACACCATTGACCTCTAAACACTTTCTCCTGATTGCTGCATGTCTTTTTTAATAAGTGCTGCAGTACGTCGAATTAGTGCATCCCGAGTGTTCACTCTAACTTTGTACACTTCATTTTTGAACCAGCCCAGTCCCATACACAGTAATCTAGTGCTGTGAGGTCTGGAGATCTTGGAGGCCAACTAATAGGATCACCGCGGTCAATCCAATGCCCTGGAAACCTCTCATTCAAATGTAGCTTGACTGGATCAGCGAAATGTGCAGGAGTTCCATCGTGCTGGTAGTACATTCCATTCTCATGTTTATAGGAACATCCTCTATAATAGGTAGTATTTGTAATTCATTTTGTAAAACGATTAAGTTAGTGGTTTTTTGTGAATCGATTCTCCAAAATGAAAGGACCAATCATATCCAGAATCCATTCCTGGAGTTTGGTACGATCCTCCCGACTCATCCTGTATATTTCGATCATCCACATTTTTGACCTGGCATTATTTTATATACAATCTTCACCTGACTTCTTTGTAGGCTGCGTTTTGCCGTTTAACCCATTAACGGCCAAACCCTTTTATTTTAATTTTGTTTGAGATCATCCGTAAAATTCTATGCTTTCCTACCTACAGAATCTTATGTCAACAGTCCAGAGAGTGTACTAGTATTTTTATTTAATTAAAAGTAATATTGTTTTAATATTATTTTTTTAAAGAAAATACGATATTTAAAACTTTAGAACACATTTTCAAACAAATATTGTTCTAAGTTAGTAAAAATGAGCAGACTATTTTTTTTTGAGCCAGGCGTAAATAAAAGATCTATTTTGATACTCATGTAGTTTTTTTTACATATGTTTTCAAAACGATGCGTATGCGCACCTTTGGCCAATAACGATTGACATATTTATTCACTCCTATGCAAGTCTGGACAAATCTAGGCATTAAAATACAGGACTTGTCAGAACATATATCAATTCATTATTAGCAGAGTGTACTTCTCAGTTTTCCCTTCTGTAAAAAAGTGTAGTTTTGTATAAAATATTGTTTGAACTAAAGTTTTTTGTAATGCATAATAGTTATTTTTTTACATACATCTAGTGCCAATATGAGGTAAGAGATTTAAGAGATATGAGTTGTATAGAAGCTATAGAGGTATAATTTTGTTTATATTATTGCAGTCATTTGTCAAAATAGAAAATGAAAAGGGCACTAACCACTAAAGAGTTACTTGCTTTGTTAGAAGAGGATTCAGATTGTGAAAATGCTGAATTGGTTGATGTTTTTTTGTGCCGCCAGAAACACATGAAATTAAAGATGAGGAAAACTTTGATGAAAATATTATTGGAGAAGAGGGAGTGCAGACGTATAATGCAGGAACGTATGAAATACATCCAAGTATAGATAGTGATGATGATTTGGAAGATGACGTTTTTAGTTTTTTATGTGAAAATGTTCAAAGTAAGCTGGATGCAAATGCACTTTACACTGTGCACACAACGAAATCTCAGCTAAAATTTATTTCGGATTTAGCACTCTCTTTAGATACAGAAAACAGCGATGTTGCTTCAAATACCGCAGTATTCAACTGAACCCATGGAAGACTCTCTCAATCCAGGTGAAGTCAAATTTGACAATATCGGGCATATTATAGAAAGGTTAATAGTGCAAGAAAAAAGTGTCGATTTCGCAAAAATAATATTATTTATTTGTGCGCATTTGCATCCAGCTTACTTTGAAAATTTTCACATAAAAAAACTAATTTAGTTTTATTAATTTGTTTACTGTTTTTTTTTTCAAAATACTGTTTATGATTTTTTTCAATAGTAAATTAGTCTTAATTTTGTGATTTTGTCTTTCAAATGATTAATATCTCGCGGTGTTTTTTAAAACCCCCATAAAAAAATCGAGGGTTGTTAGATCTGGTGAGTTTCGGGCCACTGAATAGGTTCATTAAGCCATGCATTTTTCTGGGAAAGTATTATCTAAATATTGCTACTCAATCCTGGACTGGTGGGGTGGAGCCCCGTCGTGCTGAAATCATAGGTTTCTCCTTAGCTGCAGAGGCACATTCTCCAGAAGCGCAGAAAGTTCTTCTTGTAGGAAAATTAGGTAACTCACGCTGTTCAATGTAGGTTCAGAAAAATAAAGGCCGATTCTCATTTGCGTGTAAGGCTCGGCACAGGCAAGGCACCAGCTCGGCAAAATATCTTAACCATTGTATCTTATGGGTTTAGAGGGGTGTAATTCACACTATACGTGTAGCGTCTCGGCAAGCAACAGACTTTGCACGCGACGTTCTTCCGAAAGAATATTTGCAGGGCATGTGCCGTGCATGTTCCGGCAAGTGTGAATACT